TGTGTTGTTCTTATGTCAAAAATAAAAAGTGCATCCAAATAAAGAATTATGTCACTCTAGAAACCTCACTTTGTTGTAAACAAAAAAGTCAAACTTTCTACCACTTGACAATCTCATTAATTAATTTAAGATTTTATTAGAGTCAAATAGCAAAATTGCAAAGCATTTTTAAGTCCATATTAAGATATGTAATGGTATCTTTGAGTTTAGTCCTATGGGTAATAACATTGATCACAATTGAACGATGAAGATAAATTATGTGTATTTTTAATTTGGGGACAAATTTATCAATAATTGGACAATTTATTACATTGGAAAATGAAACGTCTAAGTTTGTTAAGTTATGCATTGGTCAAATGGAGAACTAAGATGAAAGTTGACTCTATTTAATCATGACATATGATAATTTAAATTATCTACGTGAATAAATGTTACGAAATGTTATATGCTCTCAATATTTAATCTAAACATTAGATGCATTAAAAACAAAATTAATGAAAGATTATGTAAAATTTATGATGTTGAAAATTCTTGGTCAATCGAAGAATTTGACTGACATTTTCTCTGATGCGTTCAGGCGGCTCCCATCAAACCAATGGCACATCACTAAAAGTACTTATTTTGTAATTGATCAAAGCTTAAGGACCAAAAACATAATTATGTTCTCATCTCTCTCCTGTATTTGTTCTCATCCACTTGTTTTTCATCTCTCTCCCATAACCCCTCCCACCAACCAGTCAATGTTCATCTCTCCTTTTCTCTCATCAGAAGAAGAAGAAGAAGGGAGAAGAAGAAGAGGATGAAGAGAAGAGGAAGAATGCAAAGCCCGACCACCTCAATCGTGCTCTCCCTCTCTCTACGATCCAGCTTCTATGTTGTTTCTTTCTCTCTCTGCGAGCCCAAAACTCCGACATCGGCGAGCCAAAACTCCGACATCGGCGATGAATCGGCAAGTTTGTCGAAGAAGGAGAGACGGCTGGATATAGTGAGTTTTCCTGACGATGGCGATCTTTTTCTCAGAGAGGTTTCAACAGGGGAAAGAAGGAGGAGTTGGTTGTGGGAGGTGAGTCGATGGACTCTAAGTGAGGCTGGAGGAGACAACAGCGAGGGAAGTGATGCTGAAACAGGAGGCGATGGAGCAAGAAGTAAAATTACTTGAGAATCTCAATCAGGTATGGGTGTGAAGCCGGTTTCTGATTTCTGTTTTGCTTTTCATTATTAGTTTTTGGGGTTTATTTGTTGCTTTCTACCCTAATACTTTATCCTCTCTAGCTTATGATGATCACGATGGTGAATCAATTTTTTTCCTTCTTATAATGGCTTTGTATTTGTTAGTTCTGGACAAACTAAAACCCAACCGTCAAACAACTCCATAGAGGATATGTTGCTGAAATATTTGTTGTTATCATCTATGTTAAAAAGCATAATGTTTCTTTGTTTTGGGTACAACCATGTCTGCATCCTGATGTTTCAGTATCTTACTTCATGGATTTTTTTGTCCCTCTCTTTTCTCGCTTTGCAGATCTGCTTTCTCTCTTCCTTTTGTTGGACGATGAAGCCGGCAGAAAAGACGCGAAGGTGAAGAAGAATATATGGTTTGTTCATTGGTTCGTTATGGAAGGGTCGGGTGACATGACAGGGGCTTTTACGCTTCTTTCTTCTCTTCCCTAACGATTCGATTGCCTAACGGAGGTGGACCGGAGCGGTTCTGATCTTCTTCTCCAACAGAGCCAGTCATCCCCTATAGAGCAATCAGGGAGGGTTGGCAGGTTTGTCGTTCGTTTCTAGGGTGGGTCGGCAGCAAACTGAAAACGTAAAAGAGGCGGCTGGCTCCGGTCTTCTTCAGTCATTCTGGACAGAGCAACATAGGCGGCTGGCAGGTTTGTCTATCGTTTCTAGGGTGGGGCGGCAGCGAATTGAGAAAGTAACATAGGCGGCTGGCTCCAATCTTCTTCTCTTCCCCTTTCTCTGTTTTTCATCTGTGTGGATTTACTTTCTCTCTTTCTCACTGTTTTGTTGGACAGCAAAGGCGACAAAGAAAAAGTGGAAGGTTGCGGAGGAGACACAAGAAGACTGCGAAGAAGAACGGTAAGGGAACTGAGAATCGAGCAGACTTCTCTTCCAGAAAAGGAGAGGGCGCAGAATAACAAAGAAAATCAAACCTCTTCTCTTTGCAGGAGCTGATCGGTAAGGTCTCTTTCCTTTCTTATTGTAGGAAACTCTTATACAAAGTCTCAAGTTTTTGTCCTTTACTGTACCATGAAAATGCCATCAGACCATCTCGATCACCATTAATCTATATTTGTCATGATTTTGGTGAGTTGGAGTCACACATTTGTCATTCTGAAATGATATTGTGTCATGTTTGCTGTAAATTGACTGAACTTTGGGTCAACTTTACTTTAGTATTTTTTCTTGGTTTAAAACTTCTCTTCAAACCCAATTCACGTTTGAGTAATCAGTTCCTTTCATCTCTTGCCTATCAACGAACGCCCTGCCTTTATCATATCCTGAGATTCAGTTCCTATGCACTGTCGATTGGTGTCTTTGTACTTAATCCCGGACCTTAATTTATATATTTCACGGTCCAAGCAATATGGAATCAAAACTAATTGTGTCCTTCTGATGCTACAGATTCGATTTTACAGGACTCTTCAGATGCTGCAGCTTAGTAACAAGCTCAAAAAGGACAAACGCCAGAGAAACAGTATGGAACAACTAATATTAGTCGAGGGGAGAATTGAGTGGCAAGAAATCAGGCGAATAATAGCATGCTTATATCGGTGGTAAGTTATTCTGCCTAACTCAGTACGTACATGATCTAATTTATTCGACTCTTAAAAGTTGATGAAAACTTTATGCATCCATTGATTTGTTCTCTGATGCAGATCCTTGACCTGCTGGATCATGTAAGTTGGTCTCCCTGTTCTCTATTTAGTTGCTGTTGTTAATGGTATTTGAAGCAACACATGCATTATCTGCTGTAGGAAATTTTAATAGCTGTTTAAAAGCGATTCTGCTGATCCATTATGTTGTTGAAGAGTGATAGATCACTGAAGTAATTGAGAAAATAGATTCGAAGACTAGGAAAGCAATGAAGAAGAAACCCTTACTGCGAAGAATGGTGTTGTTCTTGAGTGCTATATTCAGGCAAGTATACCATCAAATTTGATCTCTGAGTTTTCCCGGGTAGGAAGGAACTGAAATATTCCATGAAACTATGTCCCTTCTTTAGGAATGGTGTTGCTGATGGCATGTCTTTTACCTTTTCGGTTCTCACTAGATGAAACTCGGTCTTTGGATGTAAAGCACAGTTTGATGATCACCTTTTTCATCACCTCAGTCCCAACTGGTGGAGGTCGTGTACCATGGATCTGTGATGTCGATCATGCAGTAGTTTCTTCAACCCTTTTCCTTCGTCTTTTGATTCATATGCTTTTACTGGTTTATGGTTACTTTACCTTTACAATCAATTTTATAATAAGAGTCTTAAGGGTTTACTTTTCCAGTTGATGTGCATCCCAGGCACATATATCAGCTTTATTATGCATTTGCTTGAGACGGTGATAACTGAATGGAGGGAAACTAACTCACAAAACCTATTGTGCATTTATGTTAGGAAAGAATAATCCTTGGAAAATGTAGCGCCAAAACATAGAGGTAAGCAGGAAAGAGAGAAAGGATTGACAACTTACATTGAGAGGAGACGAATTAATGGTATTTGCTGATAGTTGTGGTGAGCTATTTACTTTAACATTGGCTTTCCAGTTTGCACTTTTTACTGCTTGGTTGAGTCCTTAGGTCTTGTTCGAGTTGGGAATGGTGTAGTTATTTGCTCTACCATTGGTTAGTAGCTCCGACACTAGATATGAGTAACAAACTAACGATACCCTTCTCTTTATCCTGTGAAGATTGCACAATTTACTCTTTGTGATTCTTACTGCGTTTGGACGTCCTGCCGTTTTTGGATGGTTTTTCATTTCTTCATTGACGATCCTAACATTAAGTCCATTTCAATTTGATGACAGGTGATTGGTTGTGATGGAAATCAATGAGAGTTGTCAGAAAGCAGCTTTTGTTGGATCTTCCGTTAGTGGCTATGCACACTAATGCGTAAGTATTTTTCTTATTGATTCTAATTGTCTATCCTCTCATAGGTTATGCCACAGCTGGATTTGAGTTTTAACCTGTTCAAGAATGCCATTTTTACCATTGCTGCCAAATAAAACTTCTCTTCTCTTCAAGTATGGCAATAATGTTAGACTGTGATCCTTTTCGTGTCACTGTTGTAAATTCTTTGGCTTGCTGATTTATGATTTAGTCTTAACTTGGTTTGATATACCTAATTCCAGTTGTTAATAGCCATTTCTTGATTCAAACTGATTACCTCTTTCCATTTCAGATGTCTCCCTCTTTTTAATTTGAACGGACAAGAATGTCGCGGCTGGAAATCACTGCACATGAGAAGCCTCACCCTTGGAACAAAGGTCTTTATTGCTCTTCATCTCTCCATTTTCTGTTCACAATCATGATGCATCTTTTTACTTCTTTAGTCTCTGTTTGGTTGCTTTCCGTGAGGGACCAGAAATTGGCTTATATGTTCATGTGCGATTGGATTATATTTGTATACAAATTGGCTTCTACCTGTGCTAATGTATGTTACAGTCTCAACTCTGTTTATTTCTCATGCTCATGCCTCTTCATTTTTCAATCACAAATAAAGTTAAATCTAGGAAGAAACATTGTATAATTTCTTTCATTCGTAACGCGAAATCATGGTTCGTTTCTTTTCGAGAGCTGCATTCTATCATCTCCTTATGTTGTGATTGCACGCCAGTTTTAGAATTTTGAGTTAATTGTGGGTTCAATGTTGGTCTCCTTTATGTTACATTGGTTTTGTTTGGGTCTTTGCTTCCTGTTCTTCTCTAATGATACGGTTCAGTAGAAATTCTTATCCATCACCACATTAATCCAACAAAGGTTGACTTTTTCAATTATAGCTCCTCTTCTTGTTTTTTGTGGTAGAAGATTTGGTTTTGTTCTGCCTCAATTCATGGTATATGTTCCCTCTTAATTTATAATCCCATTTACAAGTTATGTGGAGTAAGAGCCTCATGTACCTGGATCAGGAACTAAAACTGAAACTTTAAAGGTTTTGTTTTGTTTACAGTCAATGGTTACTAAAGCAGCAGCTGAAACTCTGCAATTCTGGAATGTCTTCCCCTCCACGAGATAAAAACAAACTCGATGATTGTGCATGTTATGCTTTAATTAACCCTTATTATTTCCGGTATTGATTTCGACTATCTCTGTAAAACATTACTTTGGTAATAATTCACGTCCTTTGCACTTTGCACTTTTGTTGATTACTAATTTCAAGGAAAAATATTTATGTCCTCCTTGATTACAGTAGGATGCTTTTAATTTCAAAACACCGCACCTGCATCAGGTTGCTTAGAACTGTTATGAGCCTGGAAACTACAGGCCATTCACTTTACTGATACTGTATTTATGGTCTGCAGCGTCTGCTTTTGGTCAAGAATTATTGTTTAACACATTGATCATGGATAGGGATTTTTAGTTCTAGAAAGAGGCATGACATCAGGTCGCTGAAACCAAATTTAAGTTTCTCTAGCTAGCTCCACCTCAACCTCTTTGCCTACTGACATGTAGTGTGGTGATCTCAATTTCATATTTATGTGTTTATTTCCCTTCGTCTGTAATTAGTGGTGCCATCCGTTTCAATCTTCTAAGATTAGGCGTCTATTAATGGTATATATTAAAATGAAGATGTTCAATTGATGTTAATCTGCTTGCCATGCTAGCCCGTCTTTTCAACTACCTTCAAATACAGCAAATTGTTGGTGCTCTTCCCAGCAGGTCACTACTTACTCTTACCACTCAGTTTTTTTATTTGTCTTTCTCATGTTTTTGTTAAAACAACTCCCTGACTTACACCATTAATTTTGTTCTTTGCAGCTACCCTTTGAAGCTGACTTACAAGCATCTCTGCCCTTTGATAACCATATTTGGAAGAAGAGATGTCAGAGTTCAACAGCCTGGTTACAGATTGGAGTGTTGCACTACAGGTTAGAGGTAACCCCCAGTGGGGCATCGATAATAATAAATAAAAAATTGCATCTGAACTATTTCCTTTGTTTTTTTGTTGATTTTCCGATTCAAGTATTTGTAAGATGCATTCTAAAGAACGTGGTTACGAGAATATGCAATTTTGGTACAACGGTTAGAAAATTTGCATTGTGTTTATTATGTCCGAGGCTTAATCCCTTATTGTTGTGAGAATCTGCAATTTGCTGGAATCTGCTTCTATCTCCATCGCTATAGCCTTGATGCATTTACATGGAATTAATTTATAACTAATGATGTAAACTTGTGCTTATGGACTGTAAATGGTGTTTCATTTCCACATTCCTCAGAGGCTTAGATGGCTGTATGTATTTGATTGATGTCTTAATATATGAAGTTTGTGGTTTAGAGAAGATAGAGTTTTACAGATTTGCTGGAATCTGCTCTCGGGGTTTGATAGGAAGGTGGATTAGAAAAACACACCATAATTTGAAAGTCTCTTAAAATCAATGAGAAGGGTAAAGTCAGCGGCTAAACTGCTTTAGAATCTTGATTGGTTTTGTTTTTATTTCAACCGATGATGTCTGAATGCTGAACTGAGACGTAATTGAGGTCTCATTCAGTCATCACATATTTTAGTTCACAGAAAGTTTGTGCTGTTCTGGAGGGAATGTTAAAGTCATTTTCATGGTGCTTTGGTCCTTCTTTGTAATGACTAGAAGTTTAATCAGATTGAATTTATCATCCTTTTCGTTTTCAGGTTATGGGGGTTCATACCGTGTTGAATTTGTGATCTTTTGGCCAGAACTTAACATCCATTTTGTTTGGAATGGCTCCAGGAAATGATTGAATGGGAGTAGTAAGAGCAGGGTGGACGTGAAGATGCATGATGGTGGCCATGATGCTCATGTTGTAATGCTTCTTGGTGTAGGTGAGAGACACATTGGAGGTATCGATCATATTTATGCCTGTCAAGGAACTTTTGCTTATGGGTTTTTTTAGCTGGTTGATCTCTAGCACCATCAGTGTGATATTATTTAGCTTCATTTGTTTTGATGTTTCATTGGGTTCTTAGGCGTGTGGATATGCTTCATTATAACATACTCTACATCTTAAATCAATAATAGCTTGAGTTACCTATGTAGGACTTGTGTAGAGTAAGAATGTGATGGAGGATATGGGGCTGATCGGAGAATTCATCGGCTCCGCTGGCACTTGGAGAAGGGAACTCCTTCTCATAGAGCAAAGCCTCATTCATGTCCCAAATGAGACTTGGCAGAGTTCCTAGGTCTCATAGCATATGTAGGACTTGTGGTAATGATAAGACGGACCACAGCTGGTTGTATCATGACAATCTTCTAAACCTCCTGCATTAGCTTTTTGTTGTTTTTGTTATGCTGTTTCTGAAACCTCAGGGGCTCAACTTACAGTCTACATGAATGATAGGAAGTAGGGTGTAGTTTGAAATTCTAAAAAGGCGACTTGATGGGATGAGATAGATCTATTTAGTATATACCATAACTATGAGCATAGTTTATCTTTTTCATACATCAAACTGGAATTTGTTCATCATTATCAGAGAATTCTTTGTATTTAGTTGTGGTGCCTATCGTAAATTTGTTTATCTCTGTTTGTCATTGCCTTAGAGTACACTCAGTCACACCGAAATCAGTGCTTGCTCTGTGTATGTGTTTGCATACTCGATGATTCATTTGCTTAAGGGTCATTCTAATCAAAATTTACTCTCTGTTGTACTTTATTTTGCCAATTTATATTGGGGTTTTTACTAATATTGTTCAGTTTAACATTATTAGCTTCCTTGCTATGGAGTAGGTGGGAGAACAGCATACAGATGAAACATGGACAAAGGAATTAGGATTTGGTGAGAGGTCTCTAACATACTGCTTCAATATAAACTTCGTCTTTCATGGTAATACCACTTCTTAATGTAGTAAAAATCCTTCCTAATTACATTAGGTTTGTTGGTTTGAGAGCTGGGGGGTTCATACCTCTTTTAGTTTTTTACTTTCATTCTGATTTTCGTTTCTTTCTTTGCTCCTATCGGTTGAGAAAATTCATAATGTCGATGAAGGAAAGGGCGAAGGAGAAGCTTCTCTCTTCGGCTTTGAGTTGTCAAAGTTCTGCTCTTCAGAGATTCTCATGTTGATGACAGTTCGATGATATATAGCCATGAAAGAGGAAACATGGTCAGCTGTCGACGGTTGCTTTTTCTCTATGTTTCTTTCCTCCCACCTCCGATAATTGCTTTTTCTGTCTGTTTCTCATACTCATGTCTATTCAAATTTTCAATCACAGTTCATAATCAAATCTGGGAAGGAACAAGTATGTCATTTTCTCAATCCCAACTCAGAAACATCTTGAGCAAGGAATAGGTACATTGTTTTCATCCCCATTTTGGTTCCGTTGGATTTCCTTTGAAGAGTTTTCCCTCCTGCTGTTAATGTTCACATGTGCTCTTTCCTCTCCAATTTCCACAATTCCATTCATGTTGCTTCCTCCCGTCCAAATCCAGGACGGGGATTGCAAGCTGGGTTTGTTTTGTGATGACTGGCTTCAGTTTCTAGAATCTGGATGTTATGCTTCTGTTTTATGGTAGTGTCTAATGAAATATGTTTTTCCCTTTATCCCCAGAAATTTTGCGTCCGTGTTCGCTTTTTGCATTGTTCAGTTAGTTCTCTTATATGTGGTTTCATTTGAGCGTACCAAAAATCATTTTACTTGCCATTTCCATTTACTTGCTTTCTTTGCTACTCTAATTTACGGGTCCCCTTCTCCAGTTCCCAAGTATTAGAGTCTATAGTCCACTATTCGAACTGGATAGTGCTGTATGAATCTATATTTATGTTATTGCTCATTATTTGAATTCTATTTGAAATGATTTGTACATGCCACTTGTAGAATCCACAAACGATAGCAACATGACAACATTTGGTGCAAACTTGGGGAAGCTGTAATAAGGCACCTCTTGACAGCAGCAAGAAGGTGGTGTGAAGGAGATCTGCGCGTTCTTGGAGCTTCTGATTGCACCTTCAACTACTGATGAAGTCCTAGATTTGGCAGCAGCTGGAGCACTGCTCCTAGCGCCCCAATTTCAACAAGTCTCGCTTTCATTCCCACCCATGCCGAGGTATTTGATTCTCTTGCTCCGTGGAAGCTAGCTGTTCTATTCCTCGATTAGCCTGAGGGTTTATGGTGCTCATGTTTTGATTTTTTTATTGATAGTGTAGTGTCAAGTTATGAACCGTGAGGGTGGTTAATTGTGCAGGGATTTACCAGGAATTGAATATTTTTTGTCTTGAGAATTTGTTTGGATTGTAGTCAATTAGATTATGCTATTTGGTTGCAATCAAATTCATGGAAGCATGCAATGGTACTCATGTGATCAGAATTATTGGTCTAGGACTTCGGAGTTTGCGAGTGAAACCAGCAAGTATTATTTTTCTGTTACTGTTTGTGGGGTCTTTCATTGTACCCAATGGTATACTGCTTGTGCGTAGTGAAAGTTGCTTACCAAAAGTTCTGTTTTGTAATTGCAAACTTATACTGTACGTCTTTGTTTGCATGTTCAATGCTCTCTACAGGTTGCAGGCTGTGTGTACATTTAGCCTTCAATTTCAATAGATAACAGAATTTGGGTTTGTGACTTTACGAAATAATTCTTTCATTTTGCAATGCTTAACATCATATATATGTTGTTCTTATCCTTTATAATCCCATTGCTCCATACAGGTGAAAGATCACACCAGACATCCATCAGCATCATCTTCTGCTTTAGTGGAACTAATAGTATTCCTTAAATCTGTCAGGAAAGCTATCACACGTCATGGACCAGCTCCGCAGTCTCGATTTAAACTATGACACAGTGACCTCTTACTGTATTTGAATATAATTTCTTTTTCCTGCATGGTGGCGATAGTGAAGTGATGCTGCAGATTACAAATTTAGATGAGGAGATCAAGTTGGTCAGAGCTGGTTGATTTCAAGCCACGAAATTTGATAAGATAAGTATAATTAGCAAGATGAGAATCTTTGTGGCCATCATTTATCGGTAAAGTTCGAATGCCTCATGATTACAACTGATATTCTACTGAATTGAATGTTTACATAACTAGGGCCGGTGATTTGGCTGAGTGGATGGGCCGTTCGGGCTACTGAATTTGGATGCTCATAAAAAAAAACACGCAGCCAGGTTTATCATCCCGTCAAGGTTACTACGGTAAACCAGCTGTGGAGCTATTTATACTTCCATAATCATATTCTCCAGTTTATTATTTCAGTTCTGATTGTTTTCCTGCTGTGTCACAAGGATTCGAACAGGTGCTGCAAGCCTGCAACGGCTAATTTGAATGAAGAACTTGGATAGGTTGATGGTGTGCTACCTGACAAATGCTCTGCATACATGAAAGAAGTTGAGTAGTAGCCTTCGAGGTCTGAAGTGAAGGAAACCAAGGAGATCTTGAAGCTGCTCGAGCTATTGATGAAGAGGTTGGTAAACCTGCCAGGAGAGTCGGTCTAATAAGTTCAATCGACTTATTGTTAGATTTATCAGGTTTCATTTAGTTTTTTGCCTGAGATATCCGCCCTTTTTGTTTATGTTTATAAATAGGTGTCTGCAATTGAATTTGCAGAAGATGAATTTGTTGTCTCAACAGAACTACTGGTGTGGCAGAGTTGCTGAAATTGGATACTAACCAGTCTGAAGGAGAAGCTCCAGTTCAACGGAAAGATCAGGTAGCCATAACTAGAAACCAATGGTAGGTTCTTTGATTAGATTGATACATTTATTCTTGAGTTAAATAACTGGAAATCCAACAACTCTTGAAGTACAACTTCTTGCTATGCTGAATTTTTATACTTTTGTTCACACCTTTTACATTTTCATCGTAGTACAAGGCGAGACAAACTCCTATTACTTTCTCCTCAACCACGATGCAGCAGCCGCATTATTCCAAGAATTTCGTTTGAGGTGCGTACTCGACCTCTACACCTCAAACGAGTTGGTCGCCATGAAGTTATCAGGACGTGGTATCGCCATACACGACCATGTCGAACAACAAGGCTCTTCACTTTACAACAATCGATTACCTGAATTCCGCTTGGTTTCACAATCTTGTCATGTAGCATTCCCTTTTTTTGTCAGATTGTTTGGCTTTGCTTAAATTCGCAAACATTGTCCTCCCTATAACTAATGCCTTAATCTGCCTGCTTGACCACTTCCTGGTACCGTTTTTACAGTCCTTTTCCCCCTTAAACCAACAAAGTGCTTGCCTGCCTAACTAACTTTGCTCACCTGTTTTATTTCCCTGCATGCTACACAATACCGTTACTTAGCACAAGTCCTCCCCGCAGAGTCTTCACGAACGTGGTTTTACTTAGGATGTGCCTTTTGTTTTAAGACAACTAGGGAGTTTCCTGGCACTAATGATTTTTGGTGGGATGAACATGGCCCGTTGATACCTAAAGAAACCCAAAATTTGTTAGTTTAGCATCCAGCATTTTTTCCCACATTACAATACCCACGAACAACTGAACACTGAATTTCTAATACATTTTTCCAGCTACAAAATCAATTTGATTGTCGGAGACACTATTGGTTCGGCGTGCTTTATCACACTTTGAAAGACCGCTGAATATTTGCTTGGGATTACAGCTTATGAACTGTTAGTGCGTCACCCCCAACACCATGGATATTTCCCTACAAAAATTGTGGCCATGAATGGACGTTGGTTTTCGTTTGATGTTCAGCTTCCTAAACTTGGATATTTGCCTGAAACCCCTCTAGAGTTTACCATCCTTTCTGCAGTCGACCACAGCCCGCTTCAGCAATAGACTCATCAAAACAGTCCTTACCTGTGAAAAAAGTAATTGTGCTAAGATGTTGACAAACAGAAATCTTTTCCTGTATCTATCCAGGGAAAAAACTAATAGGCAAAACTCTGATCATCAACGGTCTACCATATTACCTCTGCTCTTGTGAGTGCTTGCATGACATGCAATTATGCTTTTCGACCCTCCTGCCTATTTAACTAACACTCCTTTTGTACTGCTGTTTGAAGTTTCAAGGGGAAATGCAAATATCTCCACAAATTTCAAGTAGCGGTTAGGTAACTTTCACTTACCCCACCATCACCAAATGACACTCTTCTAAACCACATCCAATGCAAAACAGCAAAATATTTAAGCTGTACTTTCCCAATCAATAAATCTAACACCAACCAATGTGTCTTGCTCCATTATATGGTAACACCCGCCTTGCAATATTTCATAATTTTGTGTATCTGATATGCACAGAAAAACTATTAGCGTGCACAAAAATCTCCAAATTTCAACTGAAAACTCTACATTTTCCCAATATAACCTCCCCGCCGCAGAGCGCGGGCTTCCTTCCTAGTTATGATATAGAAGAGAGACTTGGAAAAGACCGAAGCTGCGGAGCAGGTAGGGAAATTAATTACGACACAATATATTATATATTATGCTGTGTTTGCCGTTATATCAAGATTGCAAATTCAATTAATTTTTTTTTAATTACTGGCTCATCAGGCTCTAGGTTAGTCTCTCTAAATGGTATATCTCAAGAGCATCAATCTGTTTCCTCGTGCTTGCTACTCATCTTGTTCTTCAACGAAATTTAGAATTAGTTTGAATTCATGTCTACTTCTGCGTTGAGTCTAACAAAAATTGCAGGTTCCGGGTTGAAAGTTCAACATGAAGCAACTGAAATGTCCATCAGGATGGCAATTTGAACCCGCCTAGCCGGGTATTACTCGAGCTGATCTATGATGCAGACCGACCAGCCAGCACGCACTCACGCCTTAGCAGGCTACTCAGCCGTAAAAGAAAGCAAGCTTGTATTGGCTGCCCACATAAGCCAGGATGCAAGCCGTATCTATATGGAAACCGGTGATGTCAGCTGCATGGGGAACTCGGACAGAAGAAATGGTATTGTTGCCGTCGTAATAAGCCATCATCGTCAAGCCGCCGTTTGGGTGGACTGTCTTAACAAACCACCAGTTGTCTATGTCGAATTGGCTATCGTATATGTGCACCTTGATCTTGGGAGGGGGAAGCCAATCTTTCGGATCTTCATCCACCAGAGAGAGCCTATCTACTGACGTGAACGGCCAATTGCTGGCCCCGGTTTTTCGCCAATACCAGAAAGTGCCCCAACGCAATTCGGAGCGCGGAGTACTCCAAGTATCCCGTGGCACCGGACGTCTTCTGCTTTTTATTAGGCCACCATGCATAGGGTCGCGAAGGGGCACTAACTTAGTTGTAGCTGTCAGTAACCATGATTGCTTACGGCGTTGCTCCAGCTCCTGAGGAAGTTGTGACAGTTGTTCCCTTAGCTTTTTTGTTTCGGATGCATTCTCT